ATTAAAATTCCATTCAAAGTATTCTACATTAGTTATTAATTCAATAAAATTTTTAATAAATTTAAGTTCTGTTAATGTATTCCTTTTTTATGAAATTTTCAATGTATTTTCCAATGTAAAAATAAATAATAAATTTTTAATAAAAAATTTCAGAAAATGATTAGAAACCCGTGCGTAACACATTCTGATCACTTATTTTATTTTATTGATAGGAGCCATCAATATAAAATTAATTTTAATAAATTGCAGTATTTTTATAATTTTGAATATTACATATTTTATTTTAAAAAATATTATGCAATTTAAATTGTACTAAATTATGATATTAATTACCCTTTTTATCTAATGATCACTATTTTATTTTTATTGTTTGGTATAATTTAAATTCTTTTTTTTTTTACCTTCTTTATATTATTATGAACAACTACGTTTGAAAGAAAAAAAAATCAAACTTTTTAATCCATTTTCTTTTATTAAGAGGGATATTAAGACTTAATTGTAAAAATAAATATAAAAAAAACTTTTAAACTTGATATATAAAAAATTCTTTATCATCCTCTCATTTATTATTTTTTAAGAGTTATTTTTTCAAATTGTTTTCCGTACTTAATTGCATATGTTAACCTATGGATTCAAATGTGATTTGATAAAATCATTCAGCAAATTCAATGAATGGTACATGTTTGAAGACAAATCTCTTTGTATTGATTGTACTTAATTAAAATTTAGATAGACACTTATCCTAAATTCATGAGGTTTTTTTCATTTTTCTTTTTTGGGTAATAGATATCTATCTCTAGATTTAGGGTACATGTTGCATTTCAAATTTCACTCCCCCAACAACCACGGATCCAATCTAATGTCTTAACTTGAATCTTCCATGCCATTTCCATCCAAAAGCTTCAAGACAAAACAGAACATGTACAGAGAGAAAGAAGGCTTGGCTTTGGTAGATTATTCTTCTTTTCTCTCCTCACCATAAAATGGTTTTCTTTGATAAAAACATCAATGTCCGAATTGTGTTCACAGTATTCAAGCTTTGTGTTGTCCACAAATGAAAAAAAGAGAATGTTCAAAGCTAAATATAATGGGAAGGTCCGTCCACTTTGCAGCTCAGCTGCCTTTGTCCATTCCAACTTATAGTCGTACAGAATCAAATAGCCGGAGTGAATGAATTAAAATAATCATCTTGAGTCCTAGCTATGTCCTATATCATGAGCATATGCATTTGAGGTCTCCTTAAAGTGTACTCTTCATCTTCCAATGAGTGGAGATAGACAGATTGATCCAACAGTCATTCATCCATCCATTGCTCTTCTGCAAGAAAGGTTCAGACAGTTGGAGAGAGCCAAGGAGATGAGGCAGGAGAAAGAGCTCTTACGGATGTTGCCTGAATCAAGGTAGACCAATGCAGCTATATCTTAGTGCCATCTAGATCGCTTTTCCACCCTGAACTCATGCTTTCACAGCTGCCTCTTCGGTGTACACTCGAAAGAGAAGCCAGTATGCAGAGCAGGAATACCCAGGTTCACACCGTTTAGACTCCACTATTGGAGAATTTATGGTCCAGAGACTGGCATATGCACAACTTACCATGATGATATTTCAGATGTTGATACTTCATTTGTGAAAAAGTATGACAATGTTAGTCCACCTAGTAATCCTGTGGCTTCCTTCCGTTTCTTCTTCATGGGGCAGTAAGAATATGGGAAGGAAAAGGAGCTAAAGAAAAAGAAAACAGAATATGCAATGTAGCTAATGGCCATTATCTTATGTATCTTCAGAGCTACATAGTAATCAGAAAGGTAATTCTCTTATCTCTTCTGAAATGCATCTCATCATAGGTAATGTTATCCAATTTGTCACTGTTCCCTTTCCTCTTCATGATTTTGCGAATCAATCGAGTTACATCTTTGGCCTCTGACATTGCTTCCCCATTGTTTATCTGCTTAGAACGAACAGCGCTGACCTTTCGGGCATTTGCAGCTAATATCTGCACCAGGGACAACATTTCACTCACATTAATCAACAATTCAATTGCATGCTCAAGATTTAGTATTATTAGCCTATACAGTTATCACATGGATAATTTATTTTCCAGAAAAAATGTTTAAACTTGAATGTTACACAAGAACAAAGCATAAGAATTATTATTCAGTTGCTAAGTTTCATTTAGCAAACTGAGCCACCACATGAAGCATCTCATAGGATGAACAATAGAAAAGCAGATTCCTATATGAACAAATGCATGCCCTCATAATAGCATTGATTTCAGAAAGTTATATGTGGAAGAGAGTCAAGAGACTGCATGATTGCTAGCTACATTCATTTTCTTAGTTTTTTTACTGAAATCCATTCGGTTCTTTTACCCTACCTCAAGTCTATATATTTGATGCATTTCCTTCAAATCTTGATGATGAGATCCATCTTCATCATGCTTATCATCTTCATCTTGATTATCCCTTTTGAGGACAACTTCGATGCTCTCACCAGCCCTAGGGATGTATCCAAATACTTCACACACAAACCAGATACTGTCTCATACTGATGTTCCTATAGAGGAGCGTGGTGAACAAAGAACAATGAAGTAGAAATATGATATTTAAAAGTTAAAAGAACATTTTGATAGTTATTTACAGTGTGAAATTAACAGTGCCTTTACTTCAAAATGAATTGAAAACCACATTGCAATTTTAACTATTTGCTTTATCCTCTCCCCTTTATCTTCTTCATTTGTTTTTTTATTTTTTAAGCAGTGGTCACTTAATCATAAAGCATAATAATCCCACAACAGTCACAATAAACAGAATTTCACTTGCAAATGGGATCAGAAATATCAAGTTCATAAGTCTGGCTATTTTAAAGATTCCTACAATCAAGTTTATAATTCTCCTTTCAGTGCTCCATACGCTATAACAACGAAAACCAGTAATAGTATAGAATAATATACCTCTAGCATTTTGATATTCAAGTCCTCAGCCAACAAATAGATGCATGGGCATGGACATCATATACTCCCTCTGCTCCATTACAATATAGCCAGTTTTCTTCTGGATCTCCTCCTCTTAATACAATTAGCAGCAAATGCATAACATAAGAATCACTTGAGAATCATTATACATATGTATAAATGAATCACTTAAGAATCAAGTAGAGCTGAACCTTTCAACCTATAGAGTAAAGAAATATCTACATGACGTGAGAAGTGACATGAAATTCCTTGGTCACATGGAAAATACAGAAAAAGTACATGCCAAACTAAATGAGACCAGAAACTGGCGGCATAAAGCAGCATCTAGATCAACTGGTCTGTAGAAAATTAGCAGCACATGTATAACACCAGTTTGTTTTGGACTTCATCAACAAGTTTTCTTAGCATCCCCTTGCTGAGGAATAATACAATCCAATATCTAAAGTTATCTATGTAGTTAAAAGAGACTTGCCCCCAATAACAGATTCAGTAGAACATTAAGGTCATTAATGAGGTAATTAGGCTTACCTTTGAATCATCTTCATCAAAGATTTCTTCAAACATTCTCCTCAACCACATGTTCTAAGGTTACTATCTGCTCCATCAAAAAATGAGTACATAAATATATAAAATCAATCAATCAATAAAATGAGCACAAATACTGTTAAATAAGCAACCCAAAAGAGAAAGAAAACCCATGCATGGTAAGTTGACTAAGTTCTAGACTTTTTGTGTTCTCATGCTGCATATTCCACTCTTATCTGAACTTTAGAAGAAAAATGATTTCAAAACATATGAGAGAGCATTCGAGTTTCAACTGCAGGGAACTCCTCTGTCTCCTTTACCATGTTGAACCTGAAATTAATGTTACATGCCAAACCTTCTGAAGTCGTAAGATTTGAATAACATCCTAATGCTAGGAGCTCATGAGTTAAGGATTGAGGGGTCATACCAACCATTTAGACTTTAAGTGGTCAACATATTATCCTGTTTGACTTTTTACCATCATTCGTTTTATTGAGTTTAAGTTATGGCATTTGGATGCCAACAAACAATGAACAAATACTACTTCAAGTGGGCAAAAAGAACAAGCTAATAAAGAATAAGGTTTTGTCTTTAGGACTTTTAGCTACAATTGAAAAATTTTGGTTTAGTTTTTTAGCCTCTTAGCAGGGGAAGCATTGTTAGCATCTAACTGTAGAATAAAGTTTAAAATATCACAAATGTTGTCTTGTATTGTTTCAAGATATTACAAGTTAGCATAAGTTGACATGCGTCACAAAATAAAAATAAATAAAAAGGCAGAAGTTGGAACTTTATCATAATAAAAAATCTCAACACAATGGATGATTCTGTTTAAGTAGAGTTTCAATATGAGGCTTTGCACATACCACAACAGTTCCACCATATCCATTAAGAACAACAGCCATGTGAACCTTTTTGATCTGGAACTCTGTAAGAAGATTCCACACTGACATTGAATCTGCAAAACCAATTTTCTAAATATTACTGTATAGATAATTGAAGCATTCTATTTTTTCCATTTTCTTTTCCCCTAAACAATAACTACTAAAACAACAAATCAATCTGCTGAAACAGGAGTTGCACTTGCATCAATTGCAACCATATCAACAAGGGGTGTCTTTACCTCTCTAACATGAGTATCCTTTATCTCTAATACATTTTCAATCATATCCTGCAAGGAATTCATAAAATTAGAGCATCTAAACTGTAAACAAACAGAAAGGCACCTGTTGGCAAAAAAATTAAATTGGATTTCCACTAGAATCTGATTTTAAAACAAAAATTGCTAGAGAAATATATGGCAAGGAAAAGATATGCTCTACTGTAAATGTGCAACCAGAGTCAAGCATAGATGATACTGAATTTGATCCCAGTAAAAGAATTCAGAAACTGAAGAAACTTTCTAAGTCTTATTTGAAACAAAAGAGACACTCAGGCTAGTACAGTAAAGAAAAATTAGCTTATTTCACTACCTGCTCTTCCTCCTCTATTGCTTCACTCAACTCTGCCACACCTAGCATCAGCTTTAATTCATCTTCAGTGACATAAGGTTCATTAATTTAAAGAGAAAACATGCAAAGCATTCATAAAGCAGTCAATACAAACTTAACAAACAACTAGATTCTGGAAACAAAAAATGTAACAGACAAAAAGGAGGATATGATATCCTTCACCTTTTCCCTTTTAGACCAAGTAATTTA